GGGCGATGTTTGTATACTGGGCAAAACTTTGATTAATTGTGATATATGACCTGACAAATCTTTTAAAATATCCACATTTTTTGCTAGCTGGCAATAAAATGTCCAAGGGTCATCAACATGGGTTATATACACTGATTCTTCACTTCCAATTTTCACATCATGTGCAGAGTAGTAGTAGGAAAGTAGCTGAACAGAAGGCTCCAGGGGCTTCTGAGGTTTTACTGGTCTTGCAAGTCTCTTTTCCACCAGAACATTGCATGCGCTCTGAAAAGGTGTCAGTAAATCCACAATGTTAAACTGTTCCTTGTTTACCGAGACTACGGCAAATATTGTGCAACTTAATTCTAGATAGTTTTGTAGTGCATTATGCACATATTCACTAAACGCTTGGGTTGCCTTTTCATCCCAAACAAAAGGATTTTCACCAGTTGGTTGAATTAAGTTATAAAGACTGCACCTGAACGCCAGAGCTCTAACACTGAGAAACTTGTCACTAGTTGAGTAAATGTCCTTCATAGAGACCACATCTTTGTCTCCATAATCTACAAAGTGTACTCTCACATGATCTGAGGACAGTGCCCCCATCACCAGGGCTCTGGACCACTCTCCACTTGCTGCCCGCTTTGCCAAACAAGCAGGGGAGACCCCCTGGTAGGGTTTTGCAGTGGTTTTGCAGTAGTCCTCAATGTCATACATTAGGTTTCTAAACTCTTGTGGGTTCCTGGCCAGTTGACACCAGAAATCGCCAGGGTTTTCAACATGAAACACTTTGACCTTTACTGTACTTCCAACCTCTAGCTCTTTAGAAGAGGAGCCTGGCTTCATTGTCAAGAAATCCAATGGTAAAAGAGAAGAATAAACAGATGTTACATTCTCTTTTTCCTGCCCAACTCCTCCAGTTGAAACGTTTGTAACAATAGCTATGTCAACCAAAGCTTCTGAAACAGACTCAGATTTCTCTCTCTCTGATATCCGTTCTTCTACTTTCATGGCAGAAGGTACTTTGTCATTCTCAGCAATGAAATGGTCTGAACTGTGCCCCGGTGAGAGGGCATGGGCTGCCATGCCTTCTGTGGTTTCAAACTCCTGATACTTGGCATAGCCGGCTTGAGCAATCACCTTCCCGATGTTCTCCTCCCCTGTTCTTGACTCATCCAGGATCTCTATGACATATTGCTGTGCCTGCTTATCGAGGGTGTGGATGACCAACTCTTTGTGCAGTACAGTCTTTTTGAAGAAGGAGATTGCCTCCTGGCTCCAGGCTGTTCCAAAAGGCCATGCATCGGCAAGAGTGCACTTCAGGGCCAGCGCCGGCAGCCGCCTGAACTGGGGGAGCAGCGTCCTTAGGTCACCCCAGTCCACTTGCTCTGTGTTGCCGCGGTCAAACAGGAAGACCTCCACACTCCTGTCACCTAGTTTGGTGACGACGGCTCTGTAATAGCCATTGTCTTTCCATTTGACACAGCAGAGATCTTCCTGTTCTGGTTTCAGGACGACGCCCTCTAGTTTGCTGGCCAAGGAGTAGAAACTGCACATTCTCCTCCACAGCCTGTTGAAGGGACCGCTGTGTTTCTTCAGGCGGATCCAGAACTCGGAGGGGCTGGTGACAAATTCCACCTGGGCGTCGTAGAAGGCACTGGGCTTCAGCCTGACGGACCTTAAGCCCGGGAGGACAGCGTCTGCGTCCCCAGCCTGCCTTCCTGGTTCCTCCTCCTCCTCCTCCTCTCCATCCTCCTCATTGTCTTCTTCCTCCTCTTCCCCCTCCTCCCCTCCTGAGCTCTGGAGGAAGTGGTCCGCCAAGCAGCATGTCTGCGCCCCGAATACGCGGTTGAGGTTGACGCCGTCGTCTCCGTACAGGGTGACGTAGTACACGTGCTCGAAGGCGCAGTAGAACTCGATCTTGGCACTCAGCTCACGGCCCAGCAGCAGCGCCCGCAGGTCGCGGACCTGAGTGCGGGACCAGCCGCGGCCGCCGTCCCAGA